GAGAGAGAGAGAGAGAGAGAGAGAGAGAGAGAGAGAGAGAGAGAGAGAGTTAAGCTGTTAGGTAATAATAGTGAAGCCGCACAAGGGCTGCCCAGCGAGAATTAAACTAATCAAGGAAGATCGCATCAAGAGATCTCGTGTGCGTGATTGGGAGATAACCATGATGAAGCCTTGCAAACTTAAGGCCTTTACTTTTGAAGGGAGGATGACATCTATTCATCGCTCCCCTTGTGAGTCTTCTATTTTTCTCCCGTCGACTTCCCTAGGCCATGCCCCCCCATAGCAAGATGGGCTAAACCACTTTTTCTGTTTGTTCGTTTGTTTGTTAAACTTTGTTTGTTTGTTTTTTTGTTTTTGTGTTTGTTTGTTTGTTGGTTTGTTTGTTGGTTTGTTTGTTTGTTTTTTTGTTTGTTTTTTTGTTAAACTTTGTTTGTTTGTGTGTTTGTTTGTTTGTTGGTTTGTTTGTTGGTTTGTTTGTTTGTTTTTTTGTTTGTTTTTTTGTTTGTTTTTTTGTTTGTTTGTTTATTTGTTTGTTTGTTTGTTTGTTTGTTTGTTTGTTTGTTTGTTTGTTTGTTTGTTAAACTTTGTTTGTTTGTTTGTTTGTTTGCTAGGCCACCTTTTTTCATCCTGCCAGTATCAACTTTTCTAAGTTTCGGTCTCACTCAAGTACTCACCAATTGTGCAAAATGAAAATGAATTTCCCGCCAGAACATGGGAGGATACGCCACCATTTTTTTTGTCGTTTGTGCGCGAGGCCCTCTACCCGTTTGTTTCTCTCCGTCAGTTGCCTCGCCATTGTGCCCAACTGCTATCTGCTCACCTGTTCACCATCTTCTGTATTTTTCTTGTTTTTTTCTTTCGTCCTCTCTCATTTTCTAAGATCAGATTTAATTCACACTTCCCGGGGAAAAAAAAGGATCACATTTAGATCAGAATTATAAAAAAAAAAAAGAAAAGAAAAAGAGTGAAATTATAGTTGCAAGGGCCCGGTGCCGGTTATCAATGCTGTTTCTATGGGAGGCTGGACCCAATTTAACGTTGAGTCCTGTTTTTTGTTTTTTTTTTTGAGTTAGAGATTAGATGGGATGATGGAAAGAAATTTATATTGCCTTTTCGTCACTTTTCTTTTCTTTTTTAAACCAAAAACTAGCATCGATGGGTGGTGTGTACAAGTCGATTTATGTGTGTCATCCTTGCGCAGGGGCCATGCTAATCTTCCTTCTCTGTATCGTTCCAATTTTTTTAACGGATGTCCCGAAGGACTTACTTGCTGTTTCCTTGTTTTAGAGCAAAAGGCTGCAAACCTCACTTTTTTTATTTTATTTTTTCTTCGGGGTAAATGTGTGAAAACCTCACATTGTCTTCACTTATGGTTTTCTTTCTCCAGGGTGAAAAGGCGCCGAATCCTGCTATGCCATCTGCGCCGGAAGCAACGGACGAAGGGATCGACCCGGAAATGGCAGCTGTGATGGGCTTTGGAGGATTTGGATCATCAAAGAAGTAATCAAGCGACCGGATGCGCAGATCATTTCCGATCCATTGGCTGCAACATTTGCTCTCATCAAAGCACAATGTGGACGCCCATGGTGAAATGCTCGTGTAGTGTAGATTTGACACATAAGATTCAGGAGACAAAGAAGATGGCAGTTGACACGATGAATCAGTCCAGAAGGACAAAACAAAAAAAAGAAGTTCAAAGAACAAAAAAAAAAAAAGGAGGGGATGTTCTCACAGTTTGCCGCGGTCGATTGGGCATCATGCTTGTAACCGTCACTTCCTTGTCTGGATTCTGTGCAGGTAGGGCCATGCTGATGATGATGTGAGGCTTCCCCATCTTCTACTGAACCCCTTATGGTGTCAGTGACATGTTTCAGCCTGCATGCTGTATCTTTGCCAGTGTAAATTCATTTACCTCTGTGCGCGTTTACTTTGTACCGGTTTTGTGCCCTTTTCCCATAATCTTAGGAACTATAAATGGGCAGATTGCCTTCAAGCTGCATCCTCATGTCCACCCCTTCCACTTCCCCCCCCCCCCCCCCCCCCCCCCCCCCCCCCC